ATCGTGCACTAAAGAGGGGGAAGAGAGCTTGCCAAGTCCATTTTATCAACAGCAGCACGTTCAACACCAGCAAGATGGGCTTAAACACAGCCTGATGTGTCCCACTTCCCTGCCTCACAATACTCTGAGCCAAACAAGAATGTAATGTGCATGTTGATTGTTTTCCTGTTTAACACATTTAGAGATAGGGAAGGTTGATGTAGAACCGCTATGCTGTATGGTTGTGTGTGTTATGCAGGCTGTATTTTTTCTATCCATCTCTTAGGCTTTGTGGAACTTGATTTACATAAAACAATCATTCCAGCAAAAGTTCCAGAAAAGTGCAATATAGACATGATTCCAGAATACAAGGCAGACGGTTCTCAGAAAGCTCCCAGGACTGCCTCTCTCTTTGAACAGAAATCCATGAAAGGATGGTGGCCATGTTATGTTGAAAAGGATGGCTCCCGTATTTTAGCGGTATGATTATTACTTCTTTTAAAAGTACTTAAAACGTGCTTACCTTGCTTTTCAATTAGAGTCCCCCACTTAGCTGTTAGCTTTCAGTAAATACAACATTCCATGCAGAAGTTCAGGAATTTTGCTCCATCAACAATTTTTTGTTTTAAAGTATGGGTTTAATACTTAAATTTATTTATTTTGTTTTTAACTCTGTTTAACTTGAAGGACTTTGGTACCAGGTTGTCATGTTATCTCGTCAAAACAGCCAATAGAGTTACTGTGTGAATGCATTCATCAAGTTATTGCTTAGGAGAAACACGATACATCCTAAATGTGTTAAAGACTAAAGAAAAAAGTTTAAATCCAAAGCAATTCTGTACACAGCAAATATAATTTACATACTGAGAACCCAGAGTAGCTTCGTGATTACGAGGGCAATCAGAAGACCTAAAGCATTTTAACCTATTCTATGAAGAATACAGATGTGTATTTATCACTTGTTAGAATCTTAAGCCTTTTTTTTAAGTGTGTCTTCTTCTTCTTTGTAATGTTTTTGCATTTAAACTTTATTATTGGAATTTAATAAATGAGGAAAATATTCAGAAACATCTATTGGCCACAGCAATATAAAAAAATGAGAATGAGGTGCTTAGTCGTTTGTAAAAGATGCAGTCCTTGGGTTGTTCTTGAAAGAAGAGAAGAATTTGGTTTGGTTTGCTAAATTGGAAAGAAACAATGTATAGCTTAAAACAGAACTACTAATGAATTAGCAGAACCATTTCATGTACTGGGTTTTTTTTTTTTTTCCTATTTGTCGTTCTCTGATGCTGTATTGTGATGCTGTCATAGTGCAGAAATAGGTATATTTTGAAAAGGAAATGGAACACATGGGTGCACACAATGAGCTGATCCCAAACTCTGCTGTCTAAGTGCCAAGCAAGTACTATTAGTGCTGTTTGAATAAGATGCTTGTCTCATGCCACATGTTTTCTGAAGGGTAAAGTTGAAATGACATTGGAAGTTGTCAATGAAAAAGAAGCCGAGGAAAGGCCAGCTGGTAAAGGACGAGATGAACCCAACATGAACCCCAAACTAGATCTACCAAAGTAAGATACTTTTCTCTCACTAGTTTGAGAAATATGTAATTCTAGCTACTATTATGTTCTTGACAAAATCTGCATGCAGTTTTTTATATATATGTATATTTATTTCTATGTTTATAAGGATCTACTAGACATCAGTTATCCTTTGCAAAACTTCATTTGTAAAAGCCAGTCTTGTTTCCTTCTGCAAGCATTAGGATAAAATGCAAGGTGGTTTCAGTGTTAATAGCACACGTTTACTGAAACTGCTATCTTATGTTACAGAACTATCTATGTTTTATTCAGCCTCCAAACCAGAGTGTTTTAATGGGTCATACTCTCATGCTTAAGTATTCCCTGGTTTTATAGTGTGAGTAATATTTGTTTCTTTCAAAATGCAGCCGACCAGATACTTCCTTCCTTTGGTTTACAAATCCCTGCAAGACAATGAAATTTATTGTGTGGCGCAGGTTTAAATGGCTCTTTATAGGCCTTATCATCTTGCTGATTTTACTCTTGTTTGCAGCAGTACTCCTCTATTCATTGCCGGTAAGAATTTTTAAATGTTACTGTTCTTCAGCTGTGGTCTGAAGCTAGCTTATGTATAAGTCATCCACAGGAGACATTCCTTATGCAGACAAGAGATTTTATCAACTCGATTTTAGCAGGGAGACAGGGATTATATCCTTATAGCTATAAACAATTCCAACTGATTTTTATTGTTAAAAGTAACCTATTAACTAAAGATGGAGCAATGAGAGCTTTAGAAGTGTTAATAACCTACACAATTAAAAATAGTTAATAGATGGTCTAGAGTCGGGATTTCAGTTTACTTCAATCTGAAATATCTTACTCATTTTTACTGTATTTTAGCTGAAATTACCATACCTTAAATACATTCTCATCCAGTTTAATATCTTAAATGTCTCTTACAAAACTGCACTGAAGTATTTCGTGTACATCTTTTTACCTCTGTTGTTTCTTCCCTCCTCCCCTAACAGAACTATTTGTCAATGAAGATCGTGAAACCAATTTAAAGAAGAGTTTTTTACCTCATCTTTTTAAATAGTAATGAGGTTTTGCCTCAGGCTGTGGACCAAAGCCAGCAAAGCTCTCCATCTTTTTTATCTGCAAGTATTTGGAACTGTAAAATAGAAAAATAAGAATTTAACCAAGGTTAGCCAAGGTTCAAGGGGTCATCACAGGTGTTTTTTAAAAAACAAAGGATAAACCCCCTCATATTTCATGCACATTTTTTTACTTCAGTAGTATCTGCACATGGCAAAGTTCTGACTTCCTTGCCTTTAAACTAGATTTTTCATAAAAATCACTCAGGAGGCTGCCTGCTATTGCTATCTCAATTTTAACGAATAGTTCCTCTTGAGAATTCCTTTCCATTGGGCACACTTTGAAACTTTGCATTTTAACCTAATGAAAAACAAGCACTACTTATGTATACCAAAGAAACCTCACAGTACAATCAGAGAAGGATCAGACATTGTTTCTAGAAAAGTTTTCAGCATCATGCTGCTTAAAATTCTTAGTTACAGCACTGTGGACTTGACAACGCTGTATCTGTATCTTGACAACAACTGCATGCGCATAGAAATAAATAATATACTGTTCACTTAGTACAATTTACAAATGTTTAAATAAACTTATCCACAAGTAAAATGCAAGTTTCCAGTTTTCTTTATTGTAAAACTACAATGCATTAGGTATTGTGTAGTTTCTATCAGAGGACATAATGCCACTAATCTGGAGTATAAGGTATTTTACTGTTACCTTTATAGAGAAAAATAAGGAAATACTTCTGCACAAAGTTCTAACGAATTTCTTCATTAATTAGGAAATTAATTGTCACAGATTAAGGCTGGGCTGGCCACTAAACAAATGACAGATGCTCTGTATTAACCGCTGTCCCTTCCCAGACAAAGAAGGGAAAGATAGTAAAGGACAGAGACTTATGGATTGGGGAAAAAAACTAAACGGCTTTAATGAAACAGTAACAATAAAAAGAGAAGATAATTATAGTAATAAGAAAATAATAAAATATATACAAATCTGTACAAAACCAAGATTGACACACAAACATCACACCCACACACTGGATGATGGTCACGTCGCCACTGACGCTGCAGGGCAGGCACACGAAAAGGACTGTGGCAGATGGGAACTGGATTTGGGAATGGATGGATTGGGATCGAAGGCAGAAGAATGGACAGAGTCATCCTCAGATGCCAGCCACAGAAGAGGGCTTACCCTTGTGATCCCTCAGCTTTATATGAGTATGACTACATGGGATGGGTTTATATGACATATATGGGATGGAATACTCTGTTGGTCAGTTTTGGCTCACCTGTCCTGTCTGCTTCTCCCCGCAAGTGCGACCTTTTTACTTCATTATGACCCTTTTGCTTACATCACTTCCAACATGGCACACAGGACTTAGCAGTGACCTTGGTTTCTATAGCAGCAAGTATAATTAAGAGCCTTTCTGCATCCCCTTCCCTGGCAGTAACTATAAACATCTAGTGCTGTCACTACTAGAAGCAGACACTGTTATGCCGCTAACTTCAGAAAGTGCAGTGACTTAGAAAAGACTGAGCTGAAAAGTAAAAATCACTGAATGGAGAATTGGTTCCATCCTAGCTCAAACCAGGACATGAATAAAGAAATTAAATTTGTTGAATAGTTTCACTATACTCCTTGTATTTAGAGATGGTGAATCAAAACACAAGAGGACACACAGCCCAGATTCAACTGTTGTTTGAAATCTGATCTGCACATGGGAGGTACTTCATTTACCCTCAGTCTCTTCTCCCTAGGCACAGTAAAATATAATCTGTACTAAAAATCAGATTATAGTCTATATATTGTATATATTCCACCTCACTTTTGAGGAAAGCCAAAGCAGAAGTATCTCTCTGAACATCCTCTGCTGCTTGAAATGTAGGAAATCTGCAGCAGAACCTGAAATCAGCTTTTTGTGTGATTGTCACACTCTTGACTGGATAAAGACTTCAGTTTTCTTTAAGATGATGGTGAAACTGCAAGAATGAATTAGTCTTAAAAAAACCTCTGTCACTGTATTTAGTGGCACACTTAATGCTTTCTTGTAACGCAGCACTGTAAAGTAAGCATGCGCTTGCCAGGCCAAATAATTATACTGACTTAATTCTATTGAACAAGCTAGAATAGAGGTATTACATTAAATTCCCAGAATGTGAAGTCCCATCAGCTACAGTGGAGCAAGCAGCAGTCATCCTGTCAAAAAGGTAGCAACGCCCTTATTTTTTGGAGGTTAAGAAGTTCTCAAGCATCTTGACCTATGAACGAGAGCTCAGAGCTGGAACTAATCCCCATCCAGATGGATTGTCCCTTCACTAATGATGAAATAACACTCCAGAAATAATTGGCAATTTGCATGAGCTAATGTTTCGTCATCTACTATTAAAATCTGTCTCAATCAATGCCATAAATCACAGCAGCCTTATTTTCACTGTAAGACAAGAAAGTGTGTTGCTTGTCAGTGTTGTACTCAGACAGCATTCAACTTGAAAGAGCATTCCCCAGAAAACAATCATGAAATGGAGCAGAGATCTAAGCAAGCCTGTTCACCTCGCATTTGAAGAGTGGCTGGTACTGCCCTTCTGAGTTGAGTTCACCCTCTTCCAGATGCCTTTTTGTCCAAGCATGCACAGGCTTGATAGTTTCACTACAATTAGTGAAATGCTTATTAAAAACAAGCTTATTAAAAACATAACTGAAAAGTCTGAGAAGCCATTCTGTCTCCCAGCCTGCTTCAGTAATAAACGAAAGAAAAGACATGTTCCCAAGAAAGAAAATGTGATCGTTAATATTTACATACAATGCTAGTCAAATCTGTAATCCCTGGTGTAGCTGCTGTGCATGACTCCAACATACAATAGCTTTTTGCCTAAATCAAACAGTTAGCAAACATTTAGCCCTGTGTAGGGCACAACTTTATGCTGCTCTTGTTCTGCACTGACTACTGGGATGGTCACTTTGGCCAGGACGCCTCTGCCCACCAACTGAGGCAAGCGTCCTTTGAGGCCACAGAAAAAAAAAAAAAGGACAGAATCTAGATGTGCCTGATACCACTCTTTCTTATAACAGGAAATAACTTAACCCCAGGAATTCCTCCTTGTACAAGTTTGCTTTGCCTAAACTGATAAGCTGACAAATATTTTGGCCTGTGAGCTGACGGGGCCAGTTCAGCTGCACTCCTGTCTCTAAAACCCCAGTATACAGACACTGTACTTCATAGAAAAGATTATCTGGGCCTAAAATGACTTCTCTGTTCTGGGAAAAGCAAATGTTCAATGAGGCTCCCTTCTCTGCACCTGCGTGTCATTCAAACACGAGATGCTAGCCAGTGAAACAGCCAGGGAAAGGCTAACGCTAAACAGGAAGGGCTTTAACAAAAAAATGGCCAAATAACAGCAGTATGTCACTTGCCAGCAGTATGTCAGAGTTCTCTCTCTGACATCATGTAAGTTCAAACAACAGCAGCTGCACTCTTTGATACACTCAGGTATCCAAATAGCATATGGTTGCTTGCTGGGAGCACCCCAAACCCTGACTACTGGAATGGGCTGTAAGGAGGTTAACAGCTACTGTCACGTATTTACAACTAGACAGATTGTACATGGAAGAATCATCGTGCAGCTCAAGAAGAAAAATTTGCACCTAAACCAGCTCAGTGTGAAAGAAAGAGGCAGTAAACTTACCACCTACAAGCTGTTCTTGCATTTCTTTGAACAACCACAAGATGACATCCCAAGTCTCATATGTTCACAAAGTCCTTCCAGTATTTCTGTTTTATTTCTATCCTAAATGCATCTCACGCAGGGAGATGAACAAGATATATTTGTTAAGGGAGAACACGGAGCCATCGAAGTCCATTGCTTCTAAGTGTATTTGGAAAGCACAGCTGTAAGCACCATTGGGACCTGCCTATTGCATACAAACAGAAAGTGACCCCCAAGCCTGGTTCCCACTGACTTTAATGCTGTGGTATAAGTAGGATTTCCACTCCATGCCACGACATGCCGAAGTACCTATTTAGCAATTTGAAAGCAGTACCAAAGAGTTAGATGGCAGAATTCAGTGCTGAATTTTGTGTCAATGCTAGCTCAGCTAGTAAATAGCACTCAGCTTTTTACACAGTACTTTCCATTGCTCAGAGTTCTGTGTGTCGTGTATACAGACAGGCTGTCATGTACACAGTCAAGGACCTGAATTAGAAAGACAGCTCTCTAAAGAAGGAAGACTAGAGAGTTCTTTAAAAATTCATACCCAGAAAAGAGATGGGAATACATATTACGTCTGTCAACTCTGACCACAAAGCTACCCTGTGAAAAAGTTTGTCTTCTTTGTGACATTTGCTGTGGCTAAGAGATGAAATTTGTTGACAAGTGCAAGATGAGGAACACAGTAGGGAAAACACATACTTCCTGGAGTATATTCCTCACATACTGGATGTAGGGGAAAAAGTCTGGAGAAAGGAAGACTGCCCTTTGGTTGAGGAGGATTGGGTTAGGGATCTTTTAGGCAAGCTAGACACCCACAAATCTATGGGCCCTTATGGGATGTGCCCTCAAGTGCCGAGGGAGCTGGTGGATGCTGTTGCTAGGGCACTCCATCATCTTTGAAAGGTCATGGCAAACAGGACAGTGCCTGAGGACTGGAGGAGAGCCAGTGTCACTCCACTCTTCAAAAAGGGCAAGAAAGAGGACCCAGGAAACTACAGGCCAGTCAGCCTCACCTCCATCCCTGGAAAGGTGATGGAACAGCTCATTCTGGATGTCATCTCCAAGCATGTGAAGGAACAGAAGATCATTAAGAGTAGTCAGCATGGATTCACCAAGGGGAAACCATGCCTGACCAATCTGACAGCCTTCTATGATGGCATGACTGGCTGGGTGGATGAGGGGAGGGCAGTGGATGTGGTTTACCTCGACTTCAGCAAGGCTTTTGACACTGTCTCCCATCACATCCTCATAGATACGCTTAGGAAGTGTGGGTTAGATGAGTGGACAGTGAGGTGGGTTGAGAACTGGCTGAAGGACAGAGCTCAGAGGGTTGTGATCAGCAGTGCTGAAACTGTTGGAGGCCTACAGCTAGTGGTGTTCCCCAGGGGTCGGTACTAGGGCCTGTCTTATTCAATAGATTCACCAACAACCTCGATGAAGGGACA